TTGTTATCATCTCAGGCTTTGGCCCCAGGCTTCACCCAGGTGACAATACTAAGAACAAGTTTCGGCAGGACCACCAAGAATAACAGGGGCCTTTGGTTGGGAACACCACGAATATGATGAGAGACTTGGTATGTTAGAATTCTGCTGTGGTAGCAAATGGAGACTTGCACACGACTGGCTGCAGGGTACCCTGGCCAGTACGCCATCAGTCAGTGGCAGTTTTTTTCTTGTTTTATTCCATGAATAAATTTTAATGTATTCAGTTTCCCCCCATCAACTGCTCATTTACTGCTCATATTAATGCAATATGGCAAAACCATTTACACGGCTGGAGTCTTTTGCAACCTATTAGAGCATTTCTCCTGCTTTACTGTCCCTTTGTGTCTGGTGAGAAAATTCATTTTTGCTCTACATGTTTTTGAATTAACTGGCACGACTCAGGAATGTAAGATCGGCATCAATCCAGAGGCTGATGTAGAGCAGAGAGATTAAGAAACTGGCTGGGTTTGGCCAAAATTGGGTGTGAACCTTTCCGGTACCTGACTTCTCAGCATAGGGTTATTGCAAGGATTGAACGGGGAGCCCCAAAACATTGCCTGCTCCTCGGGAAGTGCTCAGGGAATGTGAATGAGGATGACTCCTTTCATAGCAATGCCTTATAACAGGGGTCCCCAACCCCCAGGCCATGACCAGTACCAGTTCATGGCCTGTTAGGAACCGGGCCACACAGCAGGAAGTGAGCTGTGGGCATGTAAGCGAAGCTTCATCTGTATTTACAGCCACTCTCCATCACTCACATGACCACCTGAGCTCCACCTCCTGTTGATCAGCGGCAGCATTTTCATAGGAAAGCAAACCCTGTTGTGAACTGTGCATGCAAGGGATCCAGGTTGCATGCTCCTTATGAAAATCTAATGCCTGATGATCTGCCACTATCTTTCATCACCCCCAGATGGGACTCTCTAGTTGCAGGAAAACAAGTTCAAGGCTCCCACTGATTCTACATTATGGTGAGTTGTATAATTATTTCATTATATATTGCAATGTAATCATATAGAAATAAAGTGTACAATAAATGTAATGTGCTTGAATCATCCCAAAACCATCCCCTGACCCCAGTCCATGGAAAAATTGTCTTCCACAAAACCAGTTCCTGGTGCCAAAAAGGTTGGGAACTGCTGCCCTGTAGTGTTGTTAAAGTGCTCCCCTTGCTCTGGGGAGATCTAGCTGCCTGGGTTCCTGAATGACTGTGTGGAGGAAGCCATCTACCAACCAAGGTTACCTGTCAAACTGTTACATATGCAGGAAGTTAACTTCTGTGGTTAGCCTTTGACATTTGGTGTTTGTTCTAGCAGCTAGCTTCAGAGATACTTTGCATTACCCTAAACAGTATGGTCAGTTAATATTGCAAGAAAGTCATTCACATTCTCAGTGTCCTCTCTATCTCTACAGGCTTTGACCTACTGTAGAAAGTGTCTCCTACACAACTTACTTACTCTCAGCATCTAAAAGCCAAGTCAGTGCATCTCTTTTTTATGGAAATGTCCTATCTCCCCAGTTAGACAATACTGTGGGTATGGATTTCAGGGTGCAAGAAATGCATTTCTTTACTGAATTTCTTTCTTAAGTTTCTATGCCACAAGGATAGCAAAAAAGAAATTCTAGTTAGTTTGGGGGTTTTCTAATGTTTTTTATTTGAGCCCAAGTTCTGGTTTGTGGAGGCATAGCTGGTCTTTAATGTCATCATCTGTTGGAGACGTCCTCAATTCTTCGATATTTCATTGTCAATTAACAGTGAGATTTTTACTCATTCTTTACTATAAGTCCCTTCCATTGGTTCAGGACTCAGCTGCCCCAATTCCCTTTATAGGTATGTAAATATAAAGAGGCTTGTGTGAGAGTCCAGGGTATATGAGAATCTGTCTGTGGGTCAATAGGTAGAAGAAAGTACTAAGGACAACAACAACAAAAAAACAGCCAAGATTTTCATATATAAAAAATATAATGCCAGCACAAAAAGTAAGCCCTTTGAGGGCAAGAACTGTATCCTGACCATATCCTGGTACCCTGTCCAGCAAATCAAGTTTTTCTTTTCTTTTCTTTTCTTTGAAGCAGAGTCTCATTTTTTCACCCAGGTGGGAGTGCAGTGGTGCAATCTTGGCTCACTACAACCTCCGCCTCCTGGGTTCAAGTGATTCTCCTGCCTCAGCCTCCTGAGTAGCTGGATTACAGGTGCACACCACCATGCCCAGCTAATCTTTGTATTTTTTGGTAGAGATGGGGTTTTACCATGTTGACCAGGCTGGTCTTGAACTCCTGACCTCAAGTGATCCCTGCATCACCCTCCCAAAGTGCTGGGATTACAGGCATGAGCCACTGCGCCAGGTCAAATCAAGTTTTTCTTATTCAATATTTGCTGCTGCTCTTAAATGAGGAAGAACAGTCAATGGACCACAGAAACGGAAGAAAAGATTCCCAGTGTTCTTAAAACAGTAACATTGGCTGGGTGCGGTGGCTCATGCCTGTAATCCCAGCACTTTAGGAAGCCGAGGCAGGCGGATCACGAGATCAGGAGATCGAGACCATCCTGGCTAACACGGTGAAACCCCATCCCTACTAAAAATACAAAAAATTAGCCGGGCGTGGTAGTGGGTGCCTGTAGTCCCAGCTACTTGGGAGGCTGAGGCAGGAGGGTGGCGTGGACCCGGGAGGCGGAGCTTGCAGTGAGCTGAGATCACGCCACTGCACTCCAGCCTGGGCGACAGAGCAAGACTCCGTCTCAAAAACAAAACAAAACAGAACAACAAACAAACAAAAAAACAGTAACTTTAAGCATGGAAGGGCACTGTTATGGGCTGAATTATGTCCCTCCAAAATTCATGCATTCAAAGCCCCAAATACCTCAAAATGTGACTATATTTGGAGATAGAATTTTTAAAGAGGTAATTAAGCTTAAATGAGGTCACCAGGGGTGTGCCCTAAACCAGTATAACTGGCCTCCTTAAAAGAAGAGATTAATACTCAGACACACTCAGAGGGAAGGCTGCTGTGAAGACACAGGGAATTACTTTTATCTTCAGTGGTGGCTGCTAAGACCAAAAGAAGGCAGTGCTATAATTGGGGAGGGTGGAACTGAGTTGAGTCTTCAGCTCTGTGTTGAAGTTTTTTAAAAGTCATACTATATAAATTTGTTTCTCAATATGCAAAACTGAACATATTATTTCTGCCTCTAGTGATGTTGGAATAACCAGTTCTACTTGTTTCCTTCCTATCTGTAAACAGCTAGACAACTGGAAAATTATATGATACAATTGTTTTCAGATATTGGACAGCAAAAGTATAATTCCTGAGAGAAAGGAAACAAAACAGAGTGAAAGAACCACCAGGGAGCTGTAAACTGGAACATTCTCAGCATTCATGATGATCTGGAAGACAACCCAGTCAGTGTAGAGAAATCTCACTGATCATTGTATTAGTTTTCTGTGGCTACTGTAATACATTACCATAAATATGGTGGTTTAAAACAACACAAACTTATTATCTTACAGTTCTGTGGATGAGAAGTCTGACACAGATATCACATTGGGCCAAGATCACGGCATGATGCTGTCCTTTTTGAAGGATGCAGGGAAGAATCCATTTCTTTGCCTTTTTCACCTTCCAGAGGCCACCTACTTTCCTTAACTCATGGCTTCCTTCCTCATCTTCAAAGCCAACAACATTGAGCCAGGTCCTTCTCATGCTGCTGTCTCTTTGGTTCTTTCTTCAGCACCCCTAGTCTGCTTTTAAGGACCCTTGAGCCCACCTCAATACCCAGAATAAGTTCCCTATTTTAAGGCATGCTGATTAGTAACATTAATTCCAGCTTCTACCTTAATTCCCCTCTGTCATGTAGCCTAACATATTCCCAGGTTCTGGGGATTCGGATGTGAACATCTTTGGTGGAATAATTTTGCTTACTATAACCACTGAGGCATTTCCCAGAACAGTCATGCCATAGTATTACGATAAATTAGTCCTAAAGTGATGGCTACTCTAGACTCAACCTAACAAAGCCTAAAGACAAGCTTGAAAGGATTAAGCTGATCCACAAGTAAATTAATGCTTGTCAAAATAAACTTCAATTCTCTTTAAAGAAAGGCAACAAAATCCAGACACAAATGTCACAAAACAATGTGACATTAATAATCACAATCAAAAGTTACTGGACATTCAAAGAAGCAGAAAAATATGATTCATAACCAGAAGAAAAATTAATCAATAGAAATCATCCCATAATGACTGATAATGGAATGATCAAATGGGGACTTTAAAATAGTTCTTATGAATGTACTCAAGAGTTTTAATAAAAATATGACCATATGAGGAGAGAAATACGAACCATCAACACAAAGTCAATGGAATTTCAATGGAACCAAATGAAATGAAAAATTCACTGGAAATTTAGTTAGAGATTAGACACTGAGGAACAAAATGTCAGTGAACTAGAAGAAATCATGAAAGAAACTATCTAGACTGAAGCACACAGAGAAAAAGTCTGAATAAAAAATAAAGGCCTGGCGTGGTGGCTCATGCCTGTAATCCCAGTACTTTGGGAGGCCGAGGCGGGTAGGTCACCTGAGGTCAGGAGTTCAAGACCAGTCTGGCCAACATGGTGAAACCCCGTGTCTACTAAAAATACAAAAAAATTAGCTGGGCGCGGTGGCGGGCGCCTGTAATCCCAGCTACTCGGGAGGCTGAGGCAGGGGAATTGCTTGAACCAGGGAGATGGAGGTTGCAGTGAGCTGAGATCTCGCCACTACACTCCAGCCTGGGCGACAGAGTGAGACTCGGTGTCAAACAAACAAACAAAAAAAAAAAAAAAAAAAAGGAGCAGTCGTTTCCAGAAGCTGGCAGCCGCCTCAGTCGTAAAACCGGTGCTAGCGGCGGCACAGGAGTGGCTAACACATCCTCTTGCCATGCTGGTATTTGGGCCTTGCCTGTGACAGTGGGAAAAGAAAATGGCCTTGCGGTACTACAACTGGGGCTGCGGTCAGCGCTTGGATCCTGAGACCAATTCTGATGATGCTTGTACATACCACCCAGGTGTTCCAGTCTTCCACGATGTTTTAAATGGTTGGTCTTGCTGTAAAAGAAGAACAACTGATTTTTCTGATTTCTTAAGTATTATAGACTGTACAAAAGGTAGACATAATAGTGAGAAGCCACCTGAGCCAGTCAAACCTGAAGTCAAGACTACTGAGAAGAAGGAACTATCTGAATTAAAACCTAAATTTCAGGAACACATCATTCAAGCCCCGAAGCCAGTAGAAGCAATAAAACGGCCAAGCCCAGATAAACCAATGACAAATTTGGAATTAAAAATATATCTGTCTCCCTAAAGCAATCACTTGATAAACTGTCATCAGGGAATGAAGAAGAAGAGAAAGAAGACAATGATGAAATTAAGATTGGCACCTCATGTAAGAATGGAGGGTGTTCAAAGATGTATCGGGGTCTAGACAGTCTAGAGAAAATGTCTGTGTATATCATCCTGGAGTAGCTATTTTCCATGAGGGGATGAAATACTGGAGCTGTTGTAGAAGAAAAACTTCTGATTTTAATTCCTTCTTAGCCCAAGAGGGCTGTACAACAGGGAAACACACGTGGACTAAAAAGATGCTGGGAGGCCAGGCACGGTGGCTCACGCCTGTAATCCCAGCACTTCGGGAGGCCGAGATGGGCAGATCACCTGAGGTCAGGAGTTCAAGCCCAGCCTGAACAACATGGAGAAACCCTGTCTCTACTAAGAATACAAAATTAGCCGGGAATGGTGGTGCATGCCTGTAATCCCAGCTACTCAGGAAGCTGAGGCAGGAGAATCACTTGAACCCAGGAGGCGGAGGTTGCAGTGAGCCGAGATCACGTCATTGCACTCCAGCCTGGGCAACAAGAGCAAGACTCCGTCTCAAAAAAAAAAAAAAAGAAAGAAAGAAAAAAAAAGGATGCTGGGAAAAAAGTTGTTCCATGTAGACATGACGGGCATCAGACTGGAGGTGAACTTACCATTTCAAGAATATGCTAAAAATTCACTTCCAGAACTTAGTCAGGTGGAAGCAACAGCACATTGTTAAATGTGCACATTGTATTTGAAGAAGAGAAGGAATTTGATCAAAATGTGAAATTATGGGGTGTGATTGATGTAAAGCGAAGTTACATAACTATGACTACAATAAAGATTGAGATCACTATGAGAAAAGCTGAACCAATGCAGTGTGCAAGCCTTGAACTGCCTGCAGTGAAAAAACAGGAAAAACAGAAAGATGACACAATAGATTGGGAGACAGGAGGAAGACTATTCCATATTTCAGAATCCTTAATACTGTGTGAAGTGGTGGCTTGCTGCTGTAATCTTTCGTTTTGTTGTTGTGTTACTGAATCTGGCATTTCAGGGTTAACATTAGGTTCTTAAAAGTCAAAGTCAGTTTGTCTTTTTGTGCCTCTCTTCTTTCTTTGGTGTTATGTAAGATTGATTATTAATTTCTCCTTACTGGTAGGAACCACAGTTGTGTCCTATACTTGAAGAGGCTGGAAAATAGCCCATAACCATAATTGCAGTATTTCTTTGTATTTCTCTGTTGAGCACAGAAATATTAAGGAACATGTTTTTTACATCTTTATATTATTCCATGATTAGTAAAGCAAGATGAAATGTCAAATTTTAATCAGTTTTTCATGGATTTGTGTTCTTACAGTACTTGAAAATATTTAAGGAAGAGATGAAGCTCTGCAGTTTTTTTCTATGTGGGATGATTACTTTTTTAAGGAGAATTAATTCTGAGGTAGTGTAGTAAGTAAAGGGGAATATATGCATTGTTTAACAAATTAGAATTTGTTTACAACTACTTGAATTTTTAAATTATGTCAAAACTTACATTACTTGCCAAGCAGTATGATGTAAGAGTACAGGAAGCATAAATAAGAATGCCAAGGTATCAATTTGGTTAAAATTCACCATTTTATAAGACTAAGCAATAATCTTAAAAACCTCTTTCCTGGCCGGGCACGGTGGCTCACACCTGTAATCCCAGCACTTTGGGAGGCCAAGGCGGGTGGATCACGAGGTCAGGAGATCGAGATCATCCTGGCTAACATGTTGAAACCCCGTCTCTACTAAAAATACAAAAAATTAGCCGGGCAAGGTGGCGGGCACCTGTAGTCCCAGCTACTCGGGAGGCTGAGGCAGGAGAATGGCGTAAACCCGGGAGGCAGAGCTTGCAGTGAGCCAAGATCATACCACTGCACTCCGACCTGGGCAACAAAGCGAGACTCCGTCTAAAAAAAAAAACAAAAAAAACAAAAAAGAAAAACAAAAAAAAACCTCTTTCCTGAATGTTTAAATGTGTTTGTATGGTGTTATGACTAATTGTTATTTATTTAGAGACTGAACCCTCTTAAAACCTTTAATTAGTTAAATATAAAAAGAAATTATATATATCTTGCCTCCCTGATGGAAAACTATATAAAATTGTAGACTTAAAAGGTTTGTGGAAATACATTAGGATATCAAAAAACTAAATATATAGAGTTGCTTTATGACTATTACATGTTAAATAAAATAGCTTAATTCTTTTGGAGTTTTTTTTAAAGTAATTCTTGAAGAGCTTCACAATTCTAATGATACAATGTTGATTATGTATTATACTTTATTTATATTAAATACAGGTAACACAGAATTAGATTGTTTGGATAGGTTTTGAGGCAGTGCAGAACTCAAGAAGAAAAATTAGGAAATATTATAAAGTCCAGAACTCTGGAAGAACTTAGGAAGTTCGGGAATAAATTAAACTTACATAGATTTAAAAAGAAAATAAAAAGACTCAAACCCCGTGAGTCTTATTTTCCTTGGTATTTATGAAATTCCTACAAAGAAAAATTTCCAGAAGTACTATTTTTGTTAATAAAGCATATATATCATTCTACTACCATTAGCAAATAACTTAGATGTAGTTAATATAATTGTTAAAAGGTTTAGCTCTGTTACAAATAAAAACAAAAAGATCTGGCAACCAGACTTTCATGACATTACATTACCATGACCAGAGACTCTGGGCAGTAAAAGTTAGGCCCACACAGTGCGTATAGTATCTAATATCTTGAGATCTACTTAAAAATTTTCAAGTTATCTTTCCTGATTTAGGAACCATTTAGGGGCATGAAGTCTTTATAGGTTGGGGGAAAGGTTGATACTTAGTTTGATTAAAAGTAATGATTAATATACCTTTTTTTTTTTTTTTTGAGACAGAGTCTTGGTCTGTTGCCCAGGCTGGAGTGCAGTGGCACAATCTTGGCTCACTGCAACCTCCATCTCTCAGATTCAAGCGATTCTCTTTGCCTCAGCCTCCTGAGTAGTTGGGACTGCAGGCACGCACCACCACGCCCAGTTAATTTTTGTATTTTTAGGAGAGACGAGGTTTCACCATGTTGGCTGGAATGGTCTCCATCTCTTGACCTTGTGATCCGCACGCCTCAGCCTCCCAAAGTGCTGGGATTACAGGCGTGAGCCACGGCACCAGGCCACCTTTTTAAAAAACACTTCCTTCTGAGGCTGTTTTCCCCTGAACAGTATCTTAATCTGATATATGTGATTGAAATATTATTTAAAGCAGTGAGTTATTGTAACCTCAGATTAGTTACATTGATCAAAACATTGATTTTTTAGAATATATATACACACACTTATATATATAGCTTTTATATTTAGTCTGGTTACATTAGTGACCATGGTATTTCATTTCTTTCTTCTTAAGGAGCCTTTGAATTTGTTGTCCAGATAAAAATCTGAATGATATTTATCTTAGACTTAAAGGGACACAGTTGTATCATTAGGTAGCATATGTTTTACTATCAGTTAATAAAAAATGCTTCATTGATTTATTCCTCTTAAAAAAAAAAATAAAAAGAGGCC